TCACGCAGCAGCCGGTACCACGACCAGAAAAGTCCTATTGTACCAATTTCAATATTAATTACAAAAAGCCCTTTAAAGCTTTAAGAATAAAGTGCAGAACTAAATCTGGAGCTCTTAATCGCTTCTGGTTACAGAAATTACATATGAAACAAGTTTCTTCTGTGCGTTATTAAAGCTGGACAGTCACAAAGAATATTTATGTTATAGTAGTTTCATCATCTTCAAGGCATAATCTGCATTCCGACGTAACAGATAGTAGTAGTTTATGATATTTTAGGTCATAATGACCTATAATGAAACTCGTTATCAACCTTAAATCACATTTTGAGAATTTAAGAATGTTTTTATAGAAGTACGCTTTTATCAGTGCTTCGTTTTGTCTAAGTCCTGGAAAGTACTCCAACCGCATATGATTTTCCCTCTCCTTGATAATTTGTTTTGTACTGGCCCAGTTTAACCCATAAAAGGGTTAAGGGTCTGTGAAAGTAGTTTTTGATGCAATTCTGGCTAGCTTAACAGCTTGTTCATTTCTCAAAACTACCTTGTGACACAGAACCCAAACAATTAACTATTGTCTCTGTCTCACAATCGGTCTAATTTACTTGGAAGTAGATGATATCACAAATCACATTCTTTGTAACGGTCTTGATAGAATGGGAATATTTCGCCGTGAACTTCAAACCTCTTATAATATTAGGAAATTTTACAACGGAATACAGCCCGTTCATTTTTTGAAGAGCTTAGTGTATTTTTTTGTTACTGGACTTAAGCAATTGCTTACGTGTGTATTGTAATTATACTTCACGTGCTTTTAGATACACTTTAATAAAATAATATACTTAGTTTCTAAATTTACAATTCAAATAACATTTAATTAATTAAAAATAAAAAAATATTGGAAATAATTACTTTGCTTGAATGAACTGCAATCGGTGATTGCGTTTTACCCGCACAGTGTCCATGATGTCTTGCCCAACGTCGTTGATTCGGTTCTGAGTAACCGAAACGGTGACCATCAACTCCAAGTCCTAAAAAATGTGAAAGATAAAAAAATGTTGAATTTTATTTAGTGTAATGCATTATAAAACATTGTTAAATAATTTATTATATCTTATATATTTTTTTTTTTTTGCTTTACTTAGCTAATGACAAAGCAAATATTATAAAGCTACTTGCATGTATCTTATCTAGAAACTAACTCATCTCCGATAACAAAATCTAGACAATTAGACAGTATTATTGATATTAAAATTCCCACGCCTAAACTATACTTTACACAAAAATCCATTAATAAATATTATTTAATACTTTTTCAAAACCTTCATGTATGTCAACATATTATATAAAAAATAACTAACAATTATTGTAACTTAATTTGTGACAGTTGTGTTTAGATAGTTTCAAGTTATTATATACTAGAAATTCCGAACGAAAATATTAATTTAAACTCACGATTTCTTGCTTACTTAGAATTTGTTTATATTTTTTTTTATAAAATTTTACAACAAATTTATTAACATTTATCTCGAATTTCGTTTTTTAATTTATTAATTTTTTTTTTTGTGTGTTATGAATTCAATAAAAGTGTTTGTTTAAATTATAGCACGCTTTTAATGATAAAATCATATATATATGTAATACATATATAATACATATTTTTATATTTATTTGTATTTAATATATATATCTAAGGGGTTCTAAAAATAA